AAAACCCCAGTCTCTCGTGTACACCTTCCAGAAGAGAAACAGCGCAAGCGTAATCGGCGCCGCCATGTAACTCTGGAAGAAGGACTCGGCATTCGGGCTCCCGCCAACCGGCTAATCCCCATGTCAGCAACACAACCCTCGAAACATCTCACAAGATCACAAGTAACTTACGTATAAAGCCGAGTAAAACGTCGCGCTCAGCGAACACACCACCAGGAACACGCCCACGTAGCTCCCAGCCACACCTAGCGCGGAGCGCCATGGAATCTCGTCCAAACTGCGGCCCTGCAGTCGCCACGCCTTGCGGAAGCGGATGTGCGCCAGCATGATGCTCGCGTACGCGAACTGGCCCGAGAGGCCCGTGACGGCGAGCAGCCAGTTGAAGACGGTCTTGCCGTCGGCGGCGACGGTGATGAATGAGATGAAGCCGAAGGCGACCTGCAGCGCGACGCAGTAGATGGGGCGGCCGTCCTTATCGACGCGCGCGAAGATGGCGGGCGCGCGGCCGGATTGCGCGAGGGCTTGGAGGACGCGGGTGGAGCCGTAGGTGCAGGAGTTTGCGACGGAGATGACGGCGAGGGTGATGACTGTCGTTCCTGATGTTAGCTTGCGTTCGATGGGAGAAAGAAGGGCGAGAGGGACGCACCGCCGTTGATGATGTGAGGGAGGACCTGGATCCCGGCCAGCTGGACCGCGAGCACGAACGGGGAGGCCTTGGTGTTGGCTCCGCTTGCGCCGAGGAGGACGTCGCTGTCCGACGGGACGATGAGGCCCATGATGAAGATGTTGAGGATGTAGAAGAGGGTGATGCGCCAGAAGACCTGTCGGGACGCCTTGGGGAGAGTCTTGCGGGGGTTGGCTGCCTCGGCGGCGGCGAGGCCTACCATCTCCGTGCCGCCAAAGGAGAATGCTGTCGACTGTTAGGTTTGAGGATACAGGAGCAGGATCGTGATGGACGTACCGGCTGTCACGAAGACGGAGCAGAAGCCCTGGAATCCATTACGGAAAGCGCCCGGGTCGTGCCAGTACTGGGCTCCAATGTAACCACGGGGATCGGTGGGTACGCCGCCTGTGTTAATGATGATGCCGAGGATGATGAAGCCGATGCAGGCTATGATTTTGACGATTGCAAGGATGAATTCGACTTTGAGTGGGCGTTAGCGTAGGCTGCTGGGCCGTAGAGAGTGTCAAAGGCATACCTTCGCCATACCCTCGCACACCAAAGACTTGAATCACGATCAGAAGAGTCATGAAGACGGCGCACCAGACACCCGGGTTAACCTCTTCTCTGCTTTTCCAGAACTCAATGGTTATGCCGGCGGCTGTGATCTCGAAAGGGAGAGTGACCATCCAACCGATGGAGTATTCCCAGCCCATTGCAAAGCCCCTTATTCACCAGTCAGCTGGATCTAGACTTGGAGTCATACCCCAAGGGCGAGCTTACCAGGCCGGATCGATGAATCGCACGGCATATTCGTAGAAGGCTCCGTTGACCGGGTAGATGATGGCTAGCTCTCCGAGGGCTTGGACGGTGCACATCATCATGCACCCGATGATAATGAAGCCAATGAGCTATTTAAAAGGGTTAGTTCATCACCCATCAGGATTAAGTTGAGGTCAATATACCAGAGCTGCCGGGCCACCAGTCCTCAGGGCTCCTCCCGTTCCGACGAAGAGGCCTGCACCAATGGAGCCTCCTGGAGTTCATGAAATTCTTCATTGAGCTTCATCCACAACGATCGTCAGATTTGACTCACCGATAGCAATCATCTGCATATGGCGCCCCTTCAGTGCCCGCGATAGGGGACGATGTTGCGATAAGGAGCTATGCTCCCCCTCGCCGTTGCTGGAGGTCGGCTGAACAGCCTCATCGGCAATGTCCAGCTTCTTTTCTTCAACTGCCATCTTGATATGACGCAAATTTCACCGAAAGTCAAGTGAGAAACAAGAGTCTGCTAAGAAACGACAAGCATCGCCCAGAACTTGGCGGCTCGGCTTCAGTTTTATTCAAGTCTATCAGCTATCGTACTCCGTCCTACAGCTATTGCCCGTCGCACAATCTAAAGACTTTATCTTTCACCCCTAGCATTTGCGCCCCTGAAATGCATGCTGGACGTATGCTCGCTTGACAGAAACTCGGCCGATCTCTTATCAACAGAGGTGATGTCGCGTCTGTTGGTTCGGTGGCCGGGGGTCTGCTTCCCGTCTTCTCCCCTGATGATAGCATGCGGCCGGCTAGAGATCGACTTTAATGGTCGGCAAAAGGCATGGGCGAGACGTCACTTCTCTTCATGCAGGTTGAAGTGCAGTATCTGGGAGCTTCTTATCAATGGCACAATCGTTGAGATGGGAAGGAAACATTTTGCCAAGAAGCATGCCGTCGAGAGTGTGGTAGGACTGTGTGTCTAGAGGACTAATCCCTCGTCGTAAGTACACCTCGTCCATCACCTGTCTGATTGAGAAAAACATTAAAAGACTGATACCTGAGCAAGCTGCTTGGGGAATTTATCACTTATTTACAGCTCTGAAGCAGCCCACGAGTCAAACCACCCAGCTCATGTCCCTCATCAGTCCTCCGTCACCGGGAATACGCGGCCACGTCCTCACATTCCGATACTCGACCGGGGCTCAGATAAGACACCCCCGGCCACCGATCGTCATCGCGACATGCTTCTAGATAACAATGGCAAACACCCGTCCGATAAGAGATCTCCAAGCTCGGACTGATGTTGAGTGATGGTGGGGTCGCATCGGAGGGGTGTCCGGTAAGTGGATCCCCTCCCGGAGCCCTCTCCGGTACCCTCGTCAAGCCACTTTCCTCTCTCGGTGATCGCCCAGATCCTCCGTGAAGCCCAGCTATCTTATCTGCACGTGTGCATAGCATCAAGTGACATGTTATCGGCGGTGCCAGCCACTCACTCACGTAGACGTCCCCCGAGAATACAGTTGCTACACACGTCCCCCTCCAAGCCTACTCCCTGTTCGGCTAGCATCGCGATGCGTGCGGGGGAGAGAGAAGCGATAGCTCCAGCCATCGAAACAGCGTACATGTACTATGTAGACGCAGACGCCAACTCATATCTCCAAGACGGAAGCAATTCCAAACAATCCCGATTGGCATGCCCATCTAAACCACAACATGTGACCTGCTAGCCACCAGGATGGCCATGCCCAGCACGTCCGTACATCGGACCGGAACGAAGCGTTGGAGAAGGAGGCGTTGGAGAAACCACCGGATCCGATCACGACCAGAGGCGGGGAAAGCGAATAAGCATTTAGAAGCCGTCCCCCTTCAACCGCTCAAATCAAAGCCTCATCTCATTCTCGGCAGCATCCGAATACTCTCTTGAAGTTGCGACGTACACGAGTTCTGTCACATTGATATTTAGACTTGCCATGAAGGTTTCTCTGGGGCTGGCATCTGCCAAGACGCCCTGGGCGAACCCCGCGTTTATCGTATCTGGCAGACGAAGCTACGGGAAGCCAACACAACCGCGACAAGCAGTCGGAGCAGGCTCGCCACACGCCGCTATTCCAGAGACAAGCAGCGTTGAACTCAAGAGCCCTCCAGCACGGAAATCCGTCCCTGGCGCGCCGTTATCCATCTTGTCTACGGGAACCCTTCTAAGATCGTTACTCATCACCACCATCTCATCGAACCGCTTCCTTCTCATCCCTTCACTTTACGCACTATCCTTCCTCTCCAAGTCGAGCGGAAGCTTCCTTCTAGACGTTGATCGCAACCCAGTACTACACGCCATTCTCAAGAAGACATTCTATGACCAGTTCTGCGCCGGAGAGACCCCTGAACAGACGAAAGCATGCGTTGACCGGCTCAAGGCCTTGGGCTTCAAGGGTGTCATCCTTACGTACGCCAAGGAGACCGTATTCGACCACTTGACCCAGTCGGCTCACGAGACGGGAAAGACTGCTGCTGCATCGGGTATTGCTGGTGTCGATTCTGAGATCGAGTCCTGGAGATGCGGTACCCTGGAGACTGCGGCACAGGTTGGTGAGGGTGACATCCTCGCCATCAAGTTGACCGGAGCTGGCCGCGATGTCACAAAAGCCTTCGCCGAAGACAAGTTTCCCCCGAAGCAGATGCTCGACGCCCTCGATGAGATCGCCACAACATGCAAACAACGCGGCATCAAGATCATCGTCGACGCCGAGTCCACGCACTTCCAAAAGGCCATCGATCGCGTCACCCTGGAGCTCATGCGCAAGTTCAACGGAGACGGATACGCTGCTATCTATAACACGTACCAGGCATATCTCAAGAGCACCACGAACAACGTCATCAACCACCTCTCGGAAGCCAGCAAGGACGGATTCACTCTGGGCCTCAAGGTCGTCAGGGGCGCATACATTCTCTCAGACAACCGCTCTCGCATCCATGACACGAAGCAGGATACCGATAATGCCTACAACTATATCTCCCAGGGTGCCGTTAAGAGACACATTGGAGACTTTGGCGGGTCCAAGCCGTTCCCCTCTGTGGATCTGTTGTTGGCTAGTCACAACAGGGAGAGTGTCTTTGCTGCGCTGAAGCTGCATCAGCAGCGCGTCAAGGAGGGCAAGCCGACTGTGCCAATTGCGTTTGGACAGTTGCACGGAATGTCTGACGAGGTCAGCTTCTCGCTTCTGCAGGAGAAGAACGAGGGTTTCGGGGGACCGGACGTATTCAAATGTTCTACTTGGGGCAGCATGGGCGAGTGTTTGGCGTATTTGCTCCGCCGGGCGGTGGAGAACAGGGACGCGGTGTTGAGGACGACGGATGAGCATAATGCTGTGAAGAACGAGTGCTGGAGGAGGCTGAAGTCGGCCTTTGCGGTTGCGAACTGATCTAGCATAAGAAGTTCAAGGCATGAGTTTGAGGAAGCGATAGCCTGTAGCCGTCATAATCTTACGTATTATTTATTCACTTTGTGATTGGATCGCCGCGAATAGCATGTGCTGCTTCATTTCCAAAGAGAATACGGAGGCAGTCATCACAATGCCTAATCAACCGACTCGGCGTAAGAGGACCCAGCTACACCGCAGACACCAGTTTCTAAATATTCTTGCGCATCATCCACATCCCCAAGACTGTCATTGAAATAAAAGGACTGGCTGGCGATGACTAAAAAGTCTTCTGCGTCGATGTACAATCGGAATCTGTCTGACGTTGGAAAGTTCGGTTTATACCTGGCCAAACCCTTGCCAACTATCCAATATGGTTGTCCATCAACTTCCTCTCTGACTACAAGAAGGATCTGTCTGTATCCCTCATACCCCTGAAACAGACACCAGTCGCCAACTGCAGCAGTTTGTGGGAGAAGGATATTCCTGACGACACGATACACTGTGGTCTGGCCTTCCACAATCGGATAAACCCATTCCCCAGTTTCGTTGCATGCAAGGCGAATCCCACTCCATAGAAATCCCTCACAAAAGAAGGATCTCGTGCCGGCAGTATGAGATAATGATGCCTTTGTGCCAGATGCGGAACTCATCAGTCTCTGTGCCGTGTTTTTATGATTTCGCATATGTATCGCATGTTCAAGGCTGGGCGAAAGCTCGTCGTGAAGTTTCAGGATCTTGACCACCAGCCCAGCATATTCAAGCAGGAAGTCGACAGAGTGGATGGGGCTCTCCCTTGCTCTTGACAGCAACTGGACTCCCAGCTGAAATACATCCATAGTGTAATCTGGCAAGAGTGGCTCTTCGCCCCTCCAATGTACCAAGGAAAGAACTCCATAGACTTTGTCTAAGAGATCGTGGCATTCCAACTCACAATCATGTACATGCTCAATGAGCATTTCTAGGGGCAGCGGCTGTTGTTGGAAAGACCCAGCCACTAGCATCTCAAGCTTTGGGACATCTGTTCGCAAAAATGGATCATCGGAGAGACTCAAACGCTCAAGTGCTTCCCGGACTTTCATCAATCCCCAGACATGCGACGCTGCTGCAAATCCATGAAATTTGCGTATGTGCAAAAGCGACTCGCCACATTGTACATAAACCTGCTTGCCTAGAAAGAGCTCTTGATAGACCCAGACCCTCTGAAAATACTCCCTTCTCAGAAACGATTTGAATGCGATGAGCATCCGCGGAAGAGTCTTGTATCTGATCAGGAAGTACCACAGTCTTGATAAAGCTCTGTCGCTGGGGCCAAGCGAATGCTGGTTTCTGCCGAACCATCTGAAGAAGTAGGCATGGTCTTGGAGCTTCTTGCAGAGATACCGGCTATCATCTGCGTGCTCGCCAACATATGCAATTACTAGATGAGAGGCTCCGAAGACTTTGCCCATGATGGCAACTTGGTGACCTTTTTCTTCTAGATTTTCTTGGTCGATACAAATCGCATCGATCCAATAAAGTGCTGTCGCATCGTGTTGTCGGGCACGGCGCAGAACAAGCTCGCAATTCAGCCGAACACTTTTGAGGTGACCGTCAACCTCAATTAGGGTCGTCGGTGCTTCTGGACCCCATGTGTAGGATATGGCATTGTATTGAGGAATTTGTGCTAGCCGAAAGGTATGGAGGACGCAGCGTATGTCGACGGTGCCATAAGAAGCCGCCCCCGATGTTTGGAAACTGAGGAGACGGATGTATGTGCCAGCATCTGGCAAACGAGTGTATTCTGGGCTTGCTGTTGATTGCTTGACGTTAAACTTCGCTGACAAGTCAGGACTTTGACGAAGCGAAGACTCTGAAGAGCCTTCTATCTCGAGTGAGCGGCAGCAGATCGCTTTTGCAACATCTGTATCTGACGAAGCTTGTCGCAGTCTTTCTGCTGGCTTAAGGGTACCGTCCGGACTTGCCGAAGGTAGCGAGCGCGACCGAAGCTTCCCCATGGCAATGGAAAGTCAGCATTTCGTAATTGAGGAGAGTGAGAGGCAGGTCCACCGCTAATCAGATTATTACAAAGCCTGAAAGTGAGACCGCGACTGGTCTGACGCCAAGGACTCGGTGGCTATGCATGGCTGCCTGGTTATCTCGGTCTGCGCACTCTCCAACGGGACTCCAAGAAGTTCAATCAGAACTCATAATCCCAACCAAACTTTAAAGCATCGTCCGTCATCAATGGTAGGGACAACACTCGCTCATTCAGTAGCATGTTTGGAAATGGCTGAAAGGCGAGCAGTGTGAGAATTGGCTCATGTCTGAGGTCCCACCTTCCATATACCCATATGGGTATCCATGGATAGTTCGAAGCCTAAGCCCCGAGAAGTCAGGTTAATTTGCAACATACAAGAGAAGTACCTCGTCGGCGTTCACGTGGTTTCGCGCTGCCGGTTGTTCCTGGTGCTAACTAAGATGAAAGCTCCAACTTCGGCACGGATATGTAGCAAGCACTAAGCAGAAGGCGCCCCGTGGCGCTTATCGGCTCGCAACATACCTCCCAGCCTCCGCGGCACTGCGGGGTGTCGTCTCAGCGGTCCGGAGTGGCGCCCCGTAGCGTCGGGCACGATCCCGATCTTGCATCCGGCCAGCCGGTCCCAATTACCCCACAAGCACCAAGTGGGCTGGATGCCGATCGTCTCCATTGAATTCTCCGGGAAGTCGAAGAAGTTTGTCTGACGAGGAACATCCTTGTACACAGTGACATATCACTCCCCAGTTCCACATTTGACAACATATCTCTCGAGATACTTTGGTAAACGTCGATGGCTTCAGCTGGCCTCGTTCCATCAATTTGGAGATCATAGCAACTAATTAGCCGAATCATCCTATCGTTATCTTGTGCTCAGTCATCCATCAAATATCACCAAGCCTTCAGCTATGGCATCTACTGAGAATTTCAACAAAGCTCTCGTTCCCTTCAAGTACGAACTTTGTCCATTGGGTGCAATCAAACCCAATGGGTGGTTTCGCGATCAGCTTCGACTGAGTGCCAAAGGTCTGGGAGGGAACTTATTCCTTTTTTATCGATTCGTCAAAGAGAGCACCTGGCTTGGAGGAACATGGGAGTACACCCCCCTGAACGAAGCTGCACCATACTGGTACAATTACATCGTTCCGCTTGCGTATAGTTTGGATCGAGATTCTGACCCGCAGCTGTTCTTGGACTTGAAGAAGCAAGCGGACTACTTCTTGGACTACACGCTTGAGCATCAAGCCGAAGATGGCTGGCTGGGTCCGGAAACTACATCACATACCCGGGGAATATGGGCGCGCTGTTTGCTGCTTCAGGGGCTCATGAATCATGCCATCGCGGATTCCTCAAGACGTGCAACGATCCTAGAAGCCGTCTTGCGTTTTGTGAGGCTGGTTCGCAAAATGCTCAAGAACAACTACCAGGGTTACATTCCACAGAAGGATGATGTCTTCGACTTGCAACTTTTTGGGGTCGCTAGAGCTCATGAACTAGCTCTTACACTTCAGTGGCTCTACGATCAGCCCGAAAGCTCCAGTGATCGTCACGGCATTTGGGAAGTTATGGACATGTTGTGGCAAGGCTCTCGTATCATGGACAGAGATTGGACGAAATTCTTTGGGGAAGGCTTTCCCAAGACGCCTTCAGTCCGCTACAAGTCTCTGAACTTCAAGCACGGAGTCAATGTTGCACAAGGTAAGACACTATAACTGAATGAGGTCCAGCTGATATTGACCCATGTCGCAGGCCTTCGATACCCGGCTCATTTGTACCGGATGGAACCGTCTTACGATCTCGCATCTCTTTGTAGAGATGCTGTTAAGAAGACCTTCGATTACCATGGCACAGCTGCAGGGTCGATCAGCAGCGATGAGTACATCGGCGGGCTTTCGCCGCAGCGAGGCTCCGAGCTGTGTTGCTCTGTGGAACTAATGTTCTCGATCTCCTACCTTTACCAGCTTTTCGGAGACAACCACTTCGCCGATATGGTAGAGTCAGCAGCCTTCAATGCCGTACCTGCTGGTATCAGTGCAGACTGGTGGAGTCATCAGTATATCACACAGGTCAACCAGCCCTGGGCCAAAGAGCTGGAGCTTCCAGGGGATGAGAAAACACCATTCTATGACGTTTGCCGGTACGCAAATGTCTTCGGGCTAGAACCCGAGTTTGTAAGTGGCCAGAAAGTCCATACAGAGAGGTCTGCTGATTAAGTCCCGAGTAGCCTTGCTGCACAGTCAATCACCCCACTGCTTACCCTAAGCTCTTGATGAATGCGTTCCTCTGGAAACAGACCTCGGAAGGGATGACATCCATCTTGCATGCCTATCTTATACCATCCAGACTGGAAACTCAGGATATCACGATCAACTGCGACTCAAACTACCCATTTGCTCCGTGTGCGCTGCGTTATACCATCTTCACTAGCAAGCCATTTGAGTTCTTGATCAGAGTTCCAGCTTGGGCCTCTCCGTCTTCTACAGTCGAGTTCAAGGACTCAGCTTCGCTTGCTTCAGCGAAGCCGCAGCCATTCATACAAAACACAGAGGACAGCAGCGGCAATGTTCACAAGATTGACATACCCGCGGCCGGCGACTTTGATGTGTTCGTCACGATCCACGCGGAGGTTCGCATCCAGAAGCATGAGAATGGCTCAGTCAGTATTCACTATGGACCCTTGCTTTACGCATACGAGATCGAATTCAAAACCGAGATCAGACTTCCACGCAATTACAAAGACCAGGCTTCAGACTGCACCGAAATCTCTTCCGTAGGCGACCGAGATGAGGAGCCATGGATGACACATACCCGCGATAACGACTACCTGCCAACTGCTGACTGGAAAATTGCCATCGATCCAACACAGAGTGTTGATGTCGTAGTACGCAAGGGCCCTTGGGAGAAGGAATGCGACAGGAAAGTTTCAGAACTTCCCGATCCTTTGTGGAATTCGGGAGCATCTCCTGTGTATCTTGAGGTCTCTGCTGCTTGGGTCAGCTGGCCAACTCGGAACGGAACTGCAGCAGACCCTCTCGATGTAGAGAGGAAGATTCAAAGTCAGCCTTTCAGAGCGAAGTTAGTGCCATACGCAACTGCGAAGCTTCACATAGCACAGTTCCCTGTCATAGATGCTGCATCATGAACAAATCGTCTCTTGTATTAATGGAAAGAAATACCATCGTGCATGGCGTCGTATCTCTAGATTTATAGAAGACCTTGTTTCGTGTTTTGAACCAGAACCATTCAAGTTTCCCGTGTCTGGCCGGTATATTTACTGTGTGTTATTGAGTCTGGGCTGATATTTCGAAAGAGAACTATAGTAGTAGTGACTACAACAACGACGACGACAACTATGGCAAGGTATATTATGTATGACCGCACAGGAAAAGTAGTTGCTCTACTACAAGAAAAGTAGGGGGTGTTTCTGAGTTTCTGAACAGGGTATTCACACGCGCAGATATCAGCGACGATGCATGTAATTCGGATAAGATTTTATGGGTGTTGACACATATAGCAGCAGGTGAAGACAATAATCAAATGCAAATTCCCTTTCCAGTCAGAACTACGATTTCTCTGTTCTATGCAAGCTTACCCTCAAGCTTAAATATACTCAGGCATGCACACATGTGACTTTTCATAAACCATGCAAGAACACACAGCACTTAACCAACCATGATTTGCTATCCATCTTGTGAAAAGTCGTTTGATTGCACTGCCTGTCGGGTTTCGTGCTTATCCTTTAGGCTTGCGTCTGAGCTGGTAAAGGCGGTAGAGTGGTTGTCTTCGTTGTCTTTGCTGTTCCGTTCGTCTTATAGGTGCTATCAGGAGTAATCACAACTTCACCAGTCGCAATATCGAACCTGTTGGTAGTTCGATTGAAAATCTGGAATGAAGCCTTTGGCTGGAAATCTGGTGATTGTCAGCTTGGTGCGGTACATCACCGGGGTTCGCAATAACTTACATGGGATCTCATGGCCTGCGTTCCAGACTCGAGTAAAACTCAGCTTTCCATATTGCCGCGTTTCTCCATAGGCGACCCCATCGACCGTAAGCTCCGTGTACCCAGCGTCACGGAAGTTCTCGGCACCAGACCACCCAGTCGCAAGGGAGAGCGCTTCTCCGCCGAGCCAGTTACAGATGTAGTCTGCATCTCCAAAGACGAGAGAGACTTGTACGTCAAGCTCAAGAAGCTTTTCGATGTCTGGGAGGTAGCCGACGGCGAAATCTCCAGAGAGGGTGTAAGCTGTGTAGAGGAGGTTGTTTGAGGTGTAGTTGAGGTCCACTCCAAGTGCGTTTTGCACTGGTCCGGTATTCAAGTAGGGCTGTTGCTTGGTCAGCAATCGCTCTGACGTGAGGCTTTGTCTACTTACTCTCCAGTAGTTGGGCGGAACGTCTTCTCCTGAACGGAAGCGCTACGTCCAATTAGTCCAGCACGACTCATCAGTGGTGAGAGACTCACAATATCATAAGTTCCACGACCTTCGAGATTGAATGTGTAAAACATCCCCTCAACGTCGGATTGGCAGATAAACTGGGCGGCTGAGCATGCTGAACGGCGAACGATAGAGTCCCTCTCAAGCCAGTCGCAGTAATCAAGCTTCTCTTGACAGCCACCAGGGCGATCACGGTTCCACTTTCCGTAGTCGTAGATGGTGTCATTGATTAGATCAACGCCGTACCCGTTGTTCTCACCCCTTGTGAAGTCAAGTAGATGCCGCGTCTGAGTATGCTCGTCAACGATACCATTCACGATACCGAGGCTCTTCAAGTTCAGCTTGCGGCCAGTCGCGGTGTTTTCATCGAGCTCGGAGTTCTTCTCATTGAACAGAGTGTAGAACGCCGGGCCCCAGTGGCCACCAAACGACTCTGGAGTGCGATTAGTAACCCGGGGACAGTCGGATTTGATCAGCCTACTCACCAGCCCAAAGATGAAAGTCAATAGAGGAGATTTTTGACGTGCTCAGTTGCGGCAAAGCATCATAGAATCCTTGCAGAACCTCCCAGCAGGTTATGGCAGCTAGACGGCTGGTGTCTTCCTTTGTTGGGTCGATGACAGCCCAGCGACCCTCTCGCTCATCGGAGCTCTCAGGCTCCTTGTCCACAAGAAGGTAGGTCGGGTCAAGGAAACCCACTTCTTTCTCGCTGTAGGAGAAGCCTTTGGCGGTCAGTCTTTAGGATTCGTAATTCTCAAGGCCTTGGACAAAGTACCTGTTCCAACTGGCTGAGAGAGGAAGAGAACGTTGGAGATGTCAGTCCAGGAGTAATCTCTCAGGACCGTTGTCATGTTCTCGACAACCTCGCAAGGCCCGATCTCCTCGAACAGTCCAATGAGAGAATCGGATCCGGGACCACCGTTGAGCCAGAGTGTAACCTGGATTCTGTCAGCTCGAGGGCCTCCAAGTCTGACAGGTCGAACGTTGGAAGCTCACAGGGTCATTTGCAGGGTCTCTCCGCGACTCAAAGAACCAGAAGAACACGTGAACATCAGGGGCGATATCGATGTATCCGCTGTACGAGTTGACCCCCGGCGTGGTCTCGCAAATTCCTTCCTTGCCAGGTTCCTTGAAACGAATTTGAGAACCACCAGGACTGGTGATCGTCGTCACACCCTCAGCAGCACCCGGCGCCTGTCTTGGTCGCAAGACGGCAGTGAGTGCTGGTGTCGCGCATGACGCGAGGAGAGCGGCGATGAGCTTCTGGAGTCTCATACTGACGGTGACTTTCAGAGGGAAGAAGTTTCAGGCTGGCAGCTTCGCATTACTGGACGGGCTTGTTTTCCACGCCGGCGATACCATTTATTATAAGCGCATCAGTACATATCACTGGCTCATTGTCGATAGATTAGGAAGCTCGTCGACGCTTCTTAGGCATGCATAACAGTACGTTTCATTCATCAACCAAATGGGAAGCCCGTTGCTGGACAATTTCCCCCATCAGTCGGGCGCGCTGCGACCGGCTCAGGTCTACATTCTCGGCCTGTTCAGTATTGAGACTCTTCGCTCCATGCTCAATACGAGCATTGAGTGTGCAATTACGTCACACTGGGAAATTTCGCATCGCTTCCGGGGGTTGGCCAGCAGGAATCCGGAGCGGGGAGAGCTTACTTCGACTTCCATGGAACGTGATCGACTACCCGCTCCAATCAGTGACATTCGCCAAGGCAAGTATGAAAAACCGCCCGGTTCTAGTAACTGGATGTTGGTTGTTAAAGTATCGATGTTGCTGATCATTTGCCGTATCATACGTTACTTCGGAGTCCTTCCCGATCTCCGAGATTGGGCAATCGGGCCACCCGTTCTTGCATCACCCCTTGTCCTGATGATGTCCCCTGTCTTTCTATCACAGCTCAATCCATACAGTCACAATGCGAGAACGTAGGCACTGGCTGGGTGGGTATGCTTGATTGTCTAGGTACGGTCGAGGTTCAGCGTCTATGTACATCCATCCTCAATCGTGAGACTAGGCAATCCCAAAAAAAGATCCTTCCACCCTGACGAAATAGCCCTATGGCTTCCAAAAGAATAACAACACTCCCAATGTGCTTTAGAACTGTCCTGGCCCGTTGGCGGATAATGCGAGCAAATTGAAAGCCAATTGACTTTCCCATCCTGGTTCTCTGATAGACACCCGTGACACTCACTTTCCACCGTGTGTGAAATACACACTATCTGGATCTCATGTTCGTTGCCGGGTATGCCTCCTGCATCGCAGCGTGAATGGCACACTGCTCCTTGGTGGGAATCTTGCAGAGTTCCTCGAGGTCGGTCTGGTTATCGCGACGCTGGAGCTCGAACTTCTAGTAGGCGCCGCCATTGTCGTTGAAGGCCTCGGTGCGACGAACCACATCGTACAGGCCATCATAACGAATGCCAACGCTGGGGCTGTAAAGACCGTTCTTGCCCTTCTTGGCAGCTGCACGGAGAACGCGGACGGGCAAGTTGCTCTTGAGTGACTTGTACAGCATCTCAGTGCCGTCAGAGTTCTTCGGCTTGTTTTCTGTGCACTTGTGGGCGCCTGATCCAGAGTAAAATATGGTGTTGCCCTGGTCCTCATTGAGACTGTCGTAAGTTCCGCCGGATTTGACAATGGAATGAGCACCTTGGTTCTTGTCTCCAGTAATTCCGCCGAACCAGTTACCATGGGCGCCGTTGACACAGGCGACCATCTGAGCCGGCCACCATTTGCCGACGGGGATGTGATTGTCCCCAAAGACTCTCGACTTAACTGACGCATAATCGGGATGGGCCACCCAGCTTCTCTTGCCAGCTTTCAGAACGTAAGCGATGCCTCGAAAAGGACCGTTCTCGCCGAACATTTCATGATGTTTGTCGGGAACGTAGAGGCCGTCGGGAGGATTACTGTTCGAGTCACTCTTCACAGCAGCAGCCTTGGCTGTCTTCCGACGGGGCTTGGCAGCTCCGTCTTTGTTCGGCTGAGCTTGCATAGCAACTGGAGCGATTGGGTCGATTGCTGTTTGCATGTTGGTGTGATCCTCCATGTGATCCTCCGTGTTGAGGGGGTCATGAACACAGGTGGGAACCTCCGGGTAAGCGTGGAGCGACATGTGGTAGAAATTTTGTCCGTCCATCGGGCCCTGTGAGTAGTGCGGGTGATATACACCATCTTCGGCTTGACCAAGATACTGCGAAGTATCCTCAGAGACCACGGTCTCATGGTTAGCCATGGAATCATAATCTCCCATGCTCATGTCAGCATCCGGGGCCTTGTAGCAAGCTTGAGGGTGAAAGATTGGCACTGAACCAGGCATGATGACGGACTCCTTGTTGAAAACCATGCAATACTTTCGATCGCTATCATCCATAGCAGCGAAAGTGGTTTCATCCACCTGGCTCAAGTTGCTGAAGGCCCAAAATTGCCACAACTTAAATGCCCGCTCCCGACTCTTGGTATCAATGTACTGCTGAGATTCAAGGGAATCCGGGTCAAACATGACGAGCACAGTGTCCATCAGACGGCGACGAACATCTCCGACAATGTATTCGGCCTGCCACTCAATGTAGTCGAAGTGCTGCTGGAGGCTGTCGTAGATGTCTTGGACAGGCGGACCCTTATTCTCCTTTGAAGCAACGAGAATCTCCGCTGCGAGGCGATGGAAGTCATCGATAATCTTTGCCTCCACGGCGGGATCCACGCTTTTGTTCGAGTGGTCGGCGAGATGAGTCTGCTCATCGTTGGTTGAAATACCCTCCATCATGCGATCGTCCTGGGGGGCGGTGTCATCACTGTGGTAGTCTTGCTGGTCCTCCTGTTTGACGAATACGTTTTGGGCATCAGCGACCTCGGTGTGGTCGGCCATCTGGAAGTCCATGCTCATGGCAACCTCGTCTCCATCGTGAGAAGCATATCCATGGTGACCCTGCTCACACATGGGGTTCTGGTCCTCGTGTGGAACGTAGAAGCTCATGTTGGCGTCCATGGATGTCGAGCAAGACGTCTTCGCGGATCTGGTTATTCTAGGAATGTCAGCTTGGTATTCCTACAGGTCATTTTTTCGTCGAAGCGTTGGAAGACAAACCCAAAGCGAACTGTCCAGTCAAGCTGCGCGAAATGCTACTTGTGTTTGTTGCTCGTCCGTTGATGTTGAGCAAGACGTCTTGACGGGCCTGCCTTTTCCAGGAATGTCAGCTTGATTTTCAAACAGGTCGTTTCCCCCCTGAAGAGTAAGAAGACTTACTCAAAGCACACTGTCGAGTTCAGCTGCGCGAAAAGCAAGTTGTGTTTGTCACTCGTCCTCGAGACGAAGGGTTTGGTGGAAAGCAAAACAGCAAAATCGAGGGATGTGGGAGGGAGAAGTATTTTCAAAATTCTTCAGGGTGCAAGAAGAAAACCCTTTCAACGGCCACGCCTTCCTTGAACAAAAGATAACAAAAAGCTAGCCTAGAAATGATATTGTCGTGGGCATCGCTTAGTCGTGCAGACAGGTGAGTCAGGAGTTGAGGTCTGTTGTTGTCGAGAGAGGTCTTCAGCGGTGATTGGCTCATCAACTCACCAAAGGCCCCGCTCTTCCAAACAGCCCAAATCTTTGGAGTGACAACTCCCCAAGCAGGGCGCCTCATTATTAAGCTTCCCATTGTCTTTGTGTCGTGTGTTGGAAGGAGCACAAGTCTGGCTTCACAAGAAACATTCTATGGAATCATTTGGAATAATCCATCAGAGATTCAGACATCGACTGGGCAAAGGACTGATACTGGAAGGGAAGATTGTAGCACATGGGAGCCAGACCATGGAGTACAATTTGCTTGCCTTTCACATCCCAGCCACTTGATTCAAAAAGACTTCCATGTGTTCCAGAAGGAGGAATGGAGCAGCAGACCTCCTCAGTCAGGGCCCCTGTCATCCAATCGGCACTAATCCAGGACCTCCCTGTTCCCGTTCTATGCCCCATTGGCCCCCGATAATAGCCAACTCCAACCGCTGAAATCGTCGCCGGCCCGGTGCTTCGACGCGTGTTCTGCACGCCCTGCGTCAAGTCCCCTACTCACAAGGGGCGGCCGGCCAGCAACGCACCAATAGCCAAGACCACCACCCGTCAACGGCACGGACTGATATGCACCCCGCATCCCACCAACCACTCAACGTGCTAATGACATTACAAAATGCTCGAAACGGCATCTGGAGATAGCGAGCCTCTGGGATCTTCCTAGATAAGCGCTCCTATCAGTGGGTCCTCGTTATCTGCAGCTGGCTCGAGGGAGGGCGTACGGCCCGGCCGATGAGGAGGCACCTCCGACCCCGCACCACCTCCAAACGACGGATATCTGGGGGACTGGGCAGTCTGCCTTCCCAGATACCCACCTGCGATGGTGATACCAAGACGATTGACGCTCATGGAAGCAGAATAATTCCAGATGGAGTCGTCGAATACCCAGAGAAGAATCACGAAGCGGTCGTCGTACGCGTGAGTCGCGACATGATGTGGTTTCACCAACGGGAGATAGCTACTGACGACTGACACACCAGCTGTTCACGATGTCGGAGGCAGAAGATCAAGTGTTCGGGACTGCATCCGTGCAATAATTGTACTCAGCGGCGGCTGACTTGCATATTCGATGAGCGCGATAACAAGGTTATGGTGACGCAAGGGTCGGTTCCCAACCTTACAGCTCTGACGACAAAAGTACTGACTATCATTGGCTTAGATACCTGTCTGAATTACAACAGAAAATCGCACGTCTAGAGCGTCTTCAAGCGAGGGCGTTGGCCGAGCAGAGCATCAGACGTGGCGAGGATGTCGACAATCCTGAGGGTATGTACGATGAACCTCCCAGACCTGGACACCTGTTGACCTTGAGAAGATGGCTTCGGAGATCCATCAAGATATGACGAGCACCGTCGTGCTAGCTATCACAGCCCGGAGGCTGCGCGACGGGACTCACCGCCACGAAATCCCGATGGCGACGGTCCAGATCTGACGAACCCTCTCACTGCGACGCCGTCCCGGTATTGTCTTTCAGCATCCAATGGAATGGCCTGTAAGTGCTCCCCACTCTCATTATGCCCTGACATCTTGAAGCTGATCGATGCAGACTTCCTTGCTCCGGGGTCCAATTGGTCATTCTCACGGCACGTTCTCAGTGTCACACACGATCATGTCTGTCAATCTCCTCTTCCTACCAATAGCCTATTATTCGACGGCTGCGCCTATGACCTTGGATGGGACGGCTCTCGAAGCACGCAAGCCCTCGACAGCCGCTTCATTCCGTCAATCGATTACGCAATCTTTCTTATCAACGCCGTCAAATTTCACTGCGGCCAAATGTTCCATCTCTTCGAAGTAGACGAGTTCATGGTCAACATGCAGAATTTCTACGCCAAGTCATCTGTTGACCGGGCAGAGGACACCAGCCTCTGGTACATCCACTTCCTGGTTATCCTCGCTTTCGGCAAAAGCCTGATCCAGAGAAAGAGTGAAGGCAAGAGACCATCAGGGGCGGACTTCTTTGTCAGGGCTCTACAGCTCTTGCCAGACGTTACCGCGCTGTGCAAAGAACCCATTCTGTCTTCGGAGATCCTATGCTCGATTGCGTGGTACTACCAAGCGTTGGACTTCCGACATGCTGCTCACAACTTTGTAAGTGCTCTAACAATTTGAGGTTGACGAAGAAAATCTCTGCTGACTTTACATCAGATCGGACAGGCGAAGAGCATGGCGATGAATCATGGTATGCATACCGACATGCCAATCATGGAGCTTGGTCCGGAACTGGTGCAAAGATGTCGCAAGATCTGGTGGACAGTGTACGTGTTGGATCGTCAGATGAGCTCGTTGATGGGGCTGCCCCAGTCAACTCTGGACGAAGGTGTCTACTGCCAGTTGCCTTCCTACTCGGGATCAGTACAACGCACGACGGCCTTGAGCATGCAGATAAAGTTCGCGCGCATTATTGCTGAGATCAGCAGCAGTAAGTTCAACGTCTCTGCGATACCGAACTCTGCTAATTTTCTTTCCTCATCTCACAGCCGTCTATGGGACGACAGGTCGCTTGAATAAGAGATTCGTCCTAGGCACCAAAGCTGTGCTCCAGAGCATTGTGTCAGTCGCAGACGAGCTTCGTACCTCGTTCCCACTACATGCAGATGAGCGATTCGATGGAATCTCGAGACTCTCTGCGCACCTGCACCTGTCTTACTATCAGGTGAGCAAAGACATGATTTTCTCTTGATAGTCTCACTGGACTAACATCTCTTCTTAGTGTATCGTCCTCGCGACAAGACCCCTGCTGCTATGCTGTCTGATCAAGAGATTCGAGTCACCACTCGAGGCAGACTCTCTGATAGCATCACCGAAAGTTCGAAACCCCGTCCAAATGTGTGCCGAATCCTCTATTCAAATCCTCAACATCCTCGACAGACTACGAGCTCAGGGATTGCTAGGTAAGATTCCGCCTTGCAACAAGCTATACTGCAACCCCCAAAACCTAACTCAAAGGATAGAAACCTTTCTTCCCCTCGACCTTGACTCCCTATTTGTATCCACCGTCGCCCTCCTCGTCGCCCGAGCAGTCGACTCCCGTCTGATCGAAAGTCAGTCGCCGTGGCTAGAGAAGTCGCACGCCATAATCGAAGAAATGGTGGCCAGCGGGAACCTGATTGCGGGGTTCCGCAGGAACGAGATGCAAAAGCTGGAGGAGATGCTCAGCAACTTCACGACGACGCAGCCTCGTGTTGCGGGCATTCCCGAGGATACGCAAGGCGCCGAATGGCAGCAACAGCAAACAGATTCCGCCGCCGCTGTCCAGGAGCCAGTACCGCCGCCGCCGTTTCCCGAGTTTACCAAAGACAGCAGCAGCCAGGCGGAGGACCTGACGGCCCAGCAGATTATTGATGTGGTTAACTCTATGGAATGGGAGGATAACGAGTGGATGTCATTTACGGTTATGGATGATCAAGCATGAGATGGCTAGAGTTATGGGAAGTCTAATGTGGCGGCGCTGCGGTTGATATTGGATCGAGGGGTCTTTTGGTAATTGACGGTGAATCAGATTTATGAATAACCTCAAGCAGCGAAGTTGCTCAGGAATTCCTCAACTAACAAGCCAATGGAAAGCTTGAACCAAAACCGACGTGTTCGTCTGGTCCTTTACTTTTCAGATGAAGTCTAAAAGGACAGTTCCGTCGGCGTAGGCGATCATCCCGCCGGGCCCAATATCTCCAGACTTTGGAGGTGGAGTTTCCATGATTCGGTCTTAATCTAAAGTCGATTAAGACGAAGCAAAATCCGGGGTTTAGCTTGCAATGAATCACCACACAGTTGCCCGAATTCAAACAGAAAAGCAAAAGGTATATTCGTATAATTACGAGCTCCGCCCGGTCGCATTCAGGTACCTTACATGAGGTCTACCGAGGCGAGCCCCCAATCATGAACAAGGATGTGCGCATGCCGATCATTTGCTAATAGCCGAAGCAATCGGGCCATTCCCCGATTCCCGTTGTATTTTTCCTTCGTATGAATGCCACCCGAGCTTCTAGATTGAGTAGCCGGGCCCCTCCACACCTGATGGAACGATTGCTTTTCATCACAATGTCACCAAACGGCATTTCTTGGCGGGCGAATGGGGGAGTAGCGCATATCGACAAAGGGGAGAGGGCTGCGTTGCAACCTCCAATGAAGACAAGAAAGACTTAAAAGCAAGGTACTGCCGTCCGATGATGTACGACATGCATGCATGGTACGGCTCGTTGCGCGAACAAGGGCTTGACTCTCCTCGTCTTTCACCATGTCTCGGTTCTCAGGCTTGGGCCCGGCTCTGACGCTGGCTCTTGCAGCACTTGTCAACGGCCAAGACAACCTCGGCATCGCGAATGGCTTCATTGATTACGAGACCGGCCAGGTCAGCGGCCAGTTCGTTCGCGACTCCCAGACTCTCGCTTCCCTCAAGGTCGCTTCAGGCCACGACTTTCTCCCCTCGGATTTCCTCTCCAACTTGACGCATACCGAAGGCGCCCACTACCTCGGAGACGTCACCTTCCGCTACAAGGTCGCTGGTGCCGGCAACTGGACCAGCGTCGACTCGGCCCAGGCCAGGAAACCCGTGAAGGCTCTGGAAGGCCTCGCATCTGACGTGCTTGCCGGCGCGGACCTGGGATCTACGTTGCCCAGCGGCATCCCTCTCACCGTCACGAGAGAGTGGCTGACCGAAAGCGACAGCCTGGCTCTGCGCATCAACCTGACCAACACGGGCAACAGCACCGTAGAGCTCGGATCCCTTGGCCTTCCCGTCTCCATAAACAACGTGTTCAGTACACGCGAGGCGGAGAACCTCCAAGATAAGTGCTCGCTCGCGGATCCGTACATCGGTCTTGACGCAGGCTACGTTCGTGTGTCTCCCGTCAAGGGAACCGGCAACGCGCTCGTCGTCGCGCCTCTGGGCTCGAGCCCTTTCGAAGCATGGAGGCTTCTCAGCGAGCCGCAAGGTGACTACTACTACCAGAGCCAGACGTACGAGGGCAACTACGAGTGGATGATTCACTCCAAAGCGTGGGCGGAGACGGAGTGGAAGGGTGGCGCCCCGTGGAATACGCCCACGTCCAAGACTTTGGAGGCCGGCGAGACCTACACTGTCGGTCTCAAGTTCTCCGTCGCCGAGAGCATCCAGACCATCGAAGATGCCGTCGAGAAGTCGGGTATCCCTCTTGCGGTGGGCATCCCGGGATACGTCGTTCCCGCAGATCTCACTGCCCGCCTGTACCTCACGCACTCCTCCCCAGTCAAGTCCATCGACGACTCTGGCGTGTTCACCGTGAAGCAGGACACGGCCGCCAAGGGCTCGCCCTACCTCCTCACCCCTGTCGAAGGCAAATGGGGGAGAACAAAGATCACCATCACTTACGAAGACGGCAAGACCCAAGTCGTCCACTACTTCATCACCAAGGCGGCCACGCAGACGGTCTCCGACCTGGGCCACTTCCTTACCACCGCCGCCCACTTCAATGACACCTCCGACCCCTTCGGTCGCGCGCCGTCCATCATGGGCTACGACCGCGAGGTCAACGCCATCGTCGAGCAGGACTACCGGGTCTGGATTGCGGGACTCAGCGACGAGGGCGGCACTGGCGCGTACGTCGCCGCGGCCACGAAGCTGTTCGTGCAGCCCGTGGCCAGCGAGGTCGAGGTCCTCGACGAGTTCATCCACGAGACCGTCCTTGGCACGATCCAGCCGCCCGACTCGTTTGCCGTGAGGGCGAGCGCCTTCTTCTACCAGCCCGAAGCGGTTAACTACACATACGATTCGGCCTTGGACTGGACTACCTGGGCCGCATGGAACAAGGAGAGGTCATACACCACCGTCCGCGCTTACAACTACGTTCACCCCGTCATCGCCTACTGGTCCATGTACCGTGTGGCCAGGGACTACCCCGAGATCAAGACCCGGGAGGAGTGGAGCTGGTACATCAACCAAGCGTTCAACACCGTGCAGTACTGCCTCAAGGACGGCGCCAAGGACTGCGACTACGGTCTGACCGGACTTATGGGCGAGACGGTCTTTGCCGAGCTTCTCGAGGATCTGAAGCGCGAGAACATGACGCAGGAGGCGTCCACTCTCGAGGCCTCGATGAAGTACCGCGCCGAATTTTGGGAGACACTTGCCGTGCCGTTCGGAAGCGAGATGGCCTGGGACAGCACCGGGCAGGAGGGCGTCTACTACTGGACCAAGTAAGTCATGAAACATCGAACCATGGATCAGTGGGCCTTACTAACCCGCGAAAGCTACTTCGGCCTAAACACCACCGCGACCAAAGCCATCAACAGTATCACGGCGTACATGCCCACCGTCGCCCACTGGGGCTGGAACGGCAACGCCCGCCGGTACTGGGACTTCAACTACGGCGCCAAGCACGCTGGTACGGAGCGCCAGCTCCACCACTACGGCTCCGGCCTCAACTCCCTCCCGATGCTGCACTACTACGAGCGCAACCCGTCCGATTTCAACGCGATCCGTGTCGCGTTCGCCGGCAACACTGCGCCCCTGAGCAACATCGACGAGGAGGGCTGCCCGTCCGCTGCGTTCCACTCGTTCCCCGAGCACCTCGAGTGGGACCCCTATACCGGCGACTATGGTCTCGGGTTCCTTGGTCTCGGCCTCGGCCAGACGCTGTACATTGTCAACACCGAAAAGTACGGCGAGGTCGTGTTTGGTGGCAATGTGGTAGAGTCGACCGCTACTTCTGTCGTCGCAGAGCCGAGGGATGCGGTTCGCCGGCGCGTCTTTGTTGCGGATTTGGGTTTGAAGATCTCGTTGAGTGCTGGAGCTATTGGCACCGTTACATACGATCGTGAAGGCCAGACGATCAAGCTCAGCGTCAGCCAATCTGCGTCTGATGCAGCTCTCAAAGCATCTTCGGCCATTGTGTGGCTTACTCAGACCACCGGAGCAGCGACATTTGCGGTGACAGGGGCTGCCAAGGAGAGGGGTGGATATAAGGTTGACTTGTCGAGCGGAAAGGCCGAAGTCACGATTGCGAAGGCGTAGACAAAGTGTATGGAGTTTCAGTGTACAAAGTTTAGGTGAAAGAATAGAAGCTTCTCACAACAGGTGCCATGATAGTTAAACAAGCCGTGATGTGAGACGTTTATTGAGCATCTCCATTCAGCAAGCAACTAACATAGCAAGCCCAGGAGCAATGTTTCAACCCAGAACTAACACGATATGATCAGACGAACGCCAAGTGTCCCACCTTCTCCAAACCCCGCATCCCCGGCCTCCTTCCCCACGAAAAGGTCCAGCCACCATCTTATTACCCCGCACGATTCTCCCCGCTTCTCATTTCTCTTCGAGTCTGCCGATATCCCGACATGACGATGGGCCCCTTGGAACCAGGGCTTTCCCCTGCCATTGGCTTTGCAACTTTGCGTTTAGGCCGCCTGGATTGGGTCAGAAGTCCCTGGCTCCTCTCAGGAACCGTGACTCGTGGAAACCGGACAGCTCCATCATTGGCCACTTCCCCAGACGAATCAACGAGCTGGTGAGCTGTTGAGAGCTTCTCACGTAACTTTGTCCCGAATTGACCGAGAGGGGCCCGTATCTACCGGCAAATATCACCTCACCTCGTGTCTTTAGTGCCAACATGTTCGCACTAGGTGAGAGAGAACCGTCTCGCGGGGATCGGACTAGGGTTGCTTTCCAGGCTAAATGCCCAGGTCCCGTCTCTTGAATCCCAGCTCCCTGGATGCGGTGACATCGTTCGGCAAAACACCTCGCGATGCTTCGTTCATAAACTCTCTCCCGTCCAGATGGGCCTGCCCACTCAAGCCACCTCCTCTCGCCTGGCTTAGACCTCCAGCCCGCCATGGTCTCGTCTAAGAGCTTCTTCCTCGGCGCGAGCCTCGTCGCCAGCACCCTGGTATCGTCCTGCTGGCGCAACGCAACATGCACTCACCCAACAGAGGCGTCCTTCCCGGGTCCCTGGGACGCCAACATCTACGCCCCCGACTCCCGCACCGCCCGCCCGAAGTCCGTCCTCTCCCTCGCGACAGGTAACGCCATCGGCTCGTTTCCATGCGCCCAGCCGCTCAAGGGCAACGGCTCAGCGCTGGTGTTCGACTTTGGCGTGCTCATGGGCGGCATCACGACGGTCAACTACACCTACACGGGCGACGGTCCCGCGACCCTCGGCCTCGCCTGGACGGAAGCGAAAAACTGGATCGGCGAGTACTCCGACAACTCCAACGGCAACTACCGCGGCCCGAACGCGACCCTCATCAGCGTCGACGGGGCCCTCTTCCACAACATCACCGCCGCGGGCGAGGGTTCCTACACCGTCCCCTTCGCCCAGCTCCGCGGCGGCTTCCGCTACCTCACCCTCTACCTCATGACCAACTCCTCCTCAACCTCCAACAACACCACCGTCCCAACCCTCGCCATCGACGACGTCTCCCTCGAGATCGTCTTCCAAC